ATGGCTGTACCAGATTCATTTCTATCTGCTACAGATACAATGGGAGGCTGATCGATGCCCGGTTGCGGTCGAGGGATGGCTCCCTATTGATAACCATATTATGTAATTGCTGCTCACTCTGACATGAAGTCTGCTGCTGAATCTGGAGTGTGCCACTAACCAAAACTATGCACCTGCCTGAGTATGTTGTATCAACAAACACCCCACCCCTCCACTCCCCATGAATTGCTGATGGGGCAGTTGTGAAGATATTGGAGAAGTTCAACAGAGATCTCACTCCGAATCGGTGGATCATCATCTTTTCATCAGCTGCGTAATGCTGTGTGGACACCTGGTCTGTTACTCTATGCTCACGAAACATGGACCCCCTCGAAAGCAACATCACTGCTGGCTTGAAACATCAGGCTGGCCTGCCTAGAATCCATCCTGGGTTTAACGTCACCACGAGGGAGACAAAGATGGCCAGGATTGGTGCTGGCCACCCACCCCCTCATGTGCCATGCTGGCCTTCATAGGTGTTCTCTCAGAGCACTTGCCCCAACCATCTGTGAAGGCTGTAAGGCAGATATTTGTCTTAGTATACGAGTGTGTGAAGATGTGTCTTCTTCCTCTTCTACATGGGATTCCTCTGGGTTATCCGGTTCCCTCTTGTAACTAGAAAAGACAATATGACTTGGCATTTGCCATACATACCAAGAATCCAAAGTGACCTTCAAATTACTCATTTGGCATCATGCAGAGCAACATTTCCCCCCGGCAGGACCCGCCTGAAAAAGAGTCTTGAGGCTTTCCTGAATAAATAAGTTTGACAAAAAAAGTGGCTGGATTTCTAACCATAGCAATTAACATCTGTAGCACTACCAATTAAGGTCTTCACCTGTGTCTGCTGTGCCTGAAGCGATGCCTGGTGCAATGCGTCATCGCTGTAACGGGGCAGACAGCCATCGGTGGCTCTGCTACTCCCTCTTGCGTTGCTGCAGCCTCAGTAATTAGCACTTTCCGCCACGTGCGTTTCTCCTGCACGCGTGGAGTATCTGGGGCATAACCCAGGAAGGGCAGCAGTGCGTGCGTCATCGTGACCTACTGCTTCAGTGCGTGTCAAGGTTCCCTTAGTTCGTATAGATTTTATTGGAAGCAGAAATCTATAATATTCAGCACCCTGTGACCTCTTGCATTAAAACAAAATGCTACATATTTCAGGCTGCAGTCCTGTGCAATTGCTTGCTTACGTCAATGCTGATGGAGCTGCTTCGACTCGGGGGAGCTCTAGAGAGCCCCCTCCGGAGGGTATTTGGCCTTCTCTTCCATGCCGGCCAGATATCTTGAAACAAGACGAGAGTTACCCACACATTATCAAACCACCACCACCCCGACCTGCCAATCGACTAACCGTGGTGAACCCACGTAACGGATACTGGTGGTCGGAGAGAATTGGGGTGTGAAATTTGAAAAATCTAAATAGATTCGAACAGCCTCACTTGTAGAACAATAATAATAACCTCTATTTTATAAAAGCGTCTTTCATATTGTAGTATCTCAAAGTGCTGTACGTAAAAAAATACATTCCTGCGGAGGGAGCTGGTAGGAACGTTGGGTTGCTCGGTCAATGGCCAGGGTCAACGGCGGCGTGGTGTATTCCGCAAATATGCCCGACTGTGAGGGCGGGCACAAGCCGGCGTGAGTAGGTTAAATGTTGAGTTTTATAAGGGCACCACGGGGTGACCAGCCCCTCCCCACCCAGCCCCTCCCCACCCAGCCCCTCCCCACCCTCCCCTTCCCACCCAGCCCCACCCTCCCCACCCAGCCCATTCCCACCTTCCCCTCCCCACCCAGCCCCTCCCTGCACGATGGACGGACACAATAATCCCCTGTGGGCTGGTGGAACCAGTGGGTTCCTACCAGTATAAAGCTACACTCACTAGTATAGGTACAATCTCAGGCAGTGTTCTTCATTGCAAGGCCTTCAGGCCACTGGCGGCCCCTGGTGGCCTTTAGGGTCCCCCCGAGTGAAAATACCGCCCATCGTCATCGTGCTGCTGTCAAACCCCAATGGTTTCAAATGTGTGGCGGGCCTCGCGCTGATGATGTCTTATCGGCAAAAGTCGGCCCCCTTTGAAAATTAGTAAAGAACACTGATCTAAGTGAAATAGAAAGCTGATGTAACAATATCAATGACGACACTCGAGATTCCAATTAAATGAAGAACTATGATAAAAGCGAACAATAGTAATCATAATAATCAAAATAATAACAAGGCAGTGACATCTGTATTTGCAAGTCTAGTGTGGCGACTGTTACCCCACGACAACATCCCCGTGGACTGAAGGTATGTTTAGTATTGCTGTATCGCACGTGGTGGATTGCAACTGCGTTCAAACAGTAGACCTAGGCAGTGCAAATTAATTGAGAGTGTTAACCCTTTGCGGATTAATCATTTATTTAAATCGCAATTTTTCGTCTCTCAACCGTGCGTGAATAACGTTTGCGTGTTTCTGCGGCTTGCCTCACAAACGCCGGCCGGCGTACTGCGCGCGCGGACGTGTCACTCACGATCTCACGCCGTTTTTGTAATCCCGCTTGGGGATTCTGAAATGCTGCGTTACAAGCGGCGTTGGCGTGGACGGTCCCCGGTCCCACTTTTCAGTATGTAATTACAACCAGCATCATCAGGCGGACAGCCTGATGATGCTGGTTGTAATTACTGGTGAAACGTCACGGTACATGAATTGTAAATGTTGTGGGTTTACTCTCCAACACACCGGTGTGCTGAACTAGTAACGAATTGGCATGTTTTGTTAACGTGCTTGGGGTGCTGGCGGGTTTAACGACACATCTACATTTACGCGATCTAACCCAAAAACGTCTCTTATGGATAATATTGGTCGCGAAAGCCTACTCGGTGTCAAACTTCCAGAGAGAAGATCTACGCTCTGCGTTTGGGTGCACAAGAGCTTCACAGCTCATCAGATTCCTCCGGCCCTAAGTAAAGATTCTGGTTCTGTATAGGGGGTCCCCACTTGGCTGAGGCAGCGAGCCCAAGACCCAATACGTAGGTGAGAACCCATTTGTGGTCTCATCGCGCCCAATGGGAATTTTCTCTGATTTTCTGTTACCCTCTTAATGGTCACAGGCACGTTGTACCGGGTCTCGTGTTTTCTTGCAATATTAAAAAAAAATCTGATTCTGATGCTGTACGCAGGTAACCGGCTCATGCCGGTACTTGTTTGTGATACCTGTGGTTTACAAAAAGCTTCCAAATGCAATACTCTGCTGCGGAGTGAAATTCGCATAGTCCTGTGCGTGCGCAGAGAGTGTTACGTGCAGTATGTGGTTAGATTAATGCAAGTCAGAAATGACGTGCAATTATCCATTGTGTTTATAATGGTCACATGCCAAATTAGATCACGATGTTTTTGCAGTGAATCAATTTATTCCTGTAATGATAATAATTATTTTATTTTATGTAGCGGGGGGTTCATGAAAATTGCGTCTCAAAATGCTGAACATTGCGCACCGCATATTAGCATCAGAATAGGGGCGAGAACGCGACCGAGACACAAGAACACGAGGAAGATCAAGGGAAGGAGGGGGGACATGACACGGACGAGGCAGGGCATCAGTAAGCAACGTTGACCGTTAATGAGTATCAATAACATGAACATAACCCTTCTTAGTAATGCTAAAACGTACACATTTAAGTGGTCTGTGCATGAACTTGATATGTGCCTTGGTAGGAAAAAATGCAACTAAAAAAAAGCAAGTATGAGTCACGTTGTGGTAACATTCTTAGGTTGTGTGTGTGGAGGAATGGTGGCGTCGTGGTGAGCGCACTGCACGATGAATCGAGCCAAACAAACTGGCGGCCTTCGTTGATGCTGCTGCTAGGTGGGCGGGATGGGGGGGTGATGGATTTTTAGAACGAAGGCCATTGTTTAATTGGGTGCTGGGAGATTGACGCAGCAACCTCCTGATTAAGAGTCCAGTACGATAACGCTAACTCTACCGCAACATGCACTGCCATAGATTAATATTGCTTTGATATTAAAACAAAACCATGCCCCATTTTTGTGCTTTGCATTTTCCGTTCAGTGAGGTCGACCGTGCGTGGATGAATACAAATGCGTGTTGGCTTTGCAAGAGTGGAATGGGAAATAGAATTCGTTCTCAAATAAAATACTTACAAGTAAATGTTTGAATTTAAAGAACAAAAAAAACATGGATTATGATTCTGTGGACGAACATGTTGCGGTGAATGTGGCACGCAAACTGCCATCGCCACCACTTGGCATTGCACGTCAAACCAAGAAGGACGCGTGTCTTATTGAGGTGTCTTATTTTTGCTCGTAATGTTCGCCGTTGCTTTTTTACGGGTCGTGGAAATGCCGCGGCAACCACGGGCAAAATACACCGCGTGTCATAAAAGGTGCATAAAGTGAATGACAACGAAATAAATCACCAGCAGCAACCACCGAGCTGGAACCGGTGCCACGTGCGCTGATCTCCACACATCAAAAGCGGTGCAGCTGGAAGTATCAACATTGCAGTAGTGAACGTGCTTTTAATCTGACGTAACGAGGTAATTGTTGTCATTTTAACTGTTCACTTTATTTTACATTTCATTTGTATTCAAATTGAGCACCACGCGGTCACGAGCGTCGTGATGTCACAGTCGTCATATTGAAAAATAGAGTAATGAGGTCTTTGTAATTCTCACGTGACGTATGTTCGCAGCATTTACCTCTCTCAAGTGCAATCCTCAGTGTGTCTTTGTTGTACGTACGTGTGTGTATACAATCTATACAATGTGTAATCAGCCGGGGGGGGGGTGAGGGGGTGGAAACCAGAGAGAGGGGTAAGTTTTTGTCTTATGTTATCGTTGATATGTGCCGGACAGAATGTTCAGTAAAGTTTCTCGTGGTATCCGCAGCTAAAAGGTTAATCATGCTGATCATTTGTCTTGTGCCCATTTCCCTTCCACCCACCGCCTGTCCCCTGTGCAGAAAGCAAGATTGGCCCGGATCCGCGTGGCGAAGAGTGGGAGCTCGCACGCCTACCTTCAGAGCAAAAAGAACGGCAAATTAATGGATGCCATTGAGCAAGTACGCCAAGAATTATCAAACAATGCGGTACAACGCCAACCACACCACGCACACCAAATGCCATCACACACGCACGCGCACGCGTGGCTGTTGAGATGCGCCGCCATCTGTGCTCCGTATAAATGTGTCTTGAAGGTGCCATGAACGGGATGAAAAGGGGAGACGTGGTGGATTGTTTAACCACTTCCCAGTTCTGAGAGGTCTGAAAGTTGCAGGAGGGTTTGGGGTCCAGCCACACCGCTGAATCTGGGATCGGTGCAAACGGTTCAGCGTTTATTCTTTTCAAAGAGGCGTAGCGCCGTTGTTTTGTAAAGATATTGTACTCACCGCAGAGAACTGTTGCGATACGAGCACACTCTACAATAACTGGCGCCGGACTGTGCCGCACGCCCTCCCACATGGCCTTGTGGGTGCCTCGGTACGTCTTCCGACCTGACGACGTTCCTTATACGTCTTCGGAATGGGAAAGAATGAAAAGGTTTCACTTTGGTCAAATGCATGTGCCAAATTTTCACCTACCCCAAACTTCATTCATTTCACCCTGCCGCTTCTCAATTTGTAAGCAAATAACTCCTTAATTGCGAAAGAGAACAACGTCAGGATATTCACGCAATACGGTATTTTGTTTGTTGTAGACATTGAGCCACGTCGATATGTTAACAGGTGCTTTTCAGGACGAAAAGCCAAGCAGCAAAAAAAGTCAAGCGGCAGTGTGTTAAAGCATAATCAGTGTCATTTTTTCTCCCACACAAAGCTGCTGGTGTAATTTAGCCGTGGCAATCTAATTACAGCGAGCGGCGCGTGGGTGCGACGTGCGAAGCAATGGGGGAGCGATGGGACGGGTTGTGGAAATCCATACATTGTTTAATTAAGCCTGTTTTAACGGGCTGCCCTAAACCAAGTGGGCTGGTCGGGCGCGGTGGCGGTGGGCCGGGGGGGCCTCGGGGTGTGTCGTTATTAAAGTGATGACTGCACACGCGCTCTTGGCTATTGCAGAGTTCTTGTGATGAAGGTCAAGCGCTCGTGGTCAAATCCCCGTCGTCCTTCGAGATGCAGCATCACCATCTGCTGCACTGCCTCGAGAAGACCACGGTAAGCGGAGGGGGTAGGGACATTGTTTACGCTATCCGACGAGGCTTCATATGTTCCGTCGCATGAGCTTGTTTGTGACCCCCACCTGAACCAAAACGCCACTTTGCTAATTGCATCTGAAGCTATACATGATCTCCCCTAGGGTGGCTCGGCCCAAAATGAGTACTTGGCGCAGTGTGTGAACATCAACCAGTGTGGAAACAATGGTGGCCGGGCATGGTTCTGGCCTCATCCTCGTAACCCGCCGTGACATCTTCAATATATGCTCACTCACATCTATGTTTCTGACATGTCATATTTGTCTGTGTACGTGTACATAGATTACTGTGTGCCACATTAACTAATATGATGTGCTTTGTTGCATTTTCATCCACCCGATTATAGCACTTAATCCACTAATCTTTTATTTCCAGGAGAGGCTGCACCTTTACTGCGGCACGCATTCATTATCGTACAAGAGGTGTACGCTTTTCTCATGATGAGTGCATGAAAGTGTGACATCTTATCCAACGCAACACATGCACCCAACTGTCATCCCGCAACCCTCGTTTGGTCCCAGCTCCCTCCCATGGATATGTGCGTATGTGTCCGTCAGCTGTGCGTGCACCAGACCCCCCACTCGTCCTCTTCACATGAGCGCAGTATCACCGCCAGGGCACGCAATACTCAACAAACACGCCGCCTATCAGCCAGCAGCAGGCAGCGATGACTCGGCCACGATCTGCGGGGGAAAGGGCCATTGTGACCGACGTCCCATTGCCTCTGAACAACCACGCACAATCCTCATTGCCAGCGCTTTTGCTGCGAGGACAAATTGGCATGCTGTGTTGTATCGAGCGGGTGTCTGACGTGTGTTTCCCCAGTGCCGTTTGTTCATTGTCCACCTGTGGTGAGCACTCATTGTCAATGCTACCCAACCCAACCCTCCCTACCCCCCAGTTGTTGTAGGCAGGCGTAAGCGCATTGTGCGTAGCACTTGGCCGCTGTAGCCACTAAAGATTGGCACTTTCGCTTTTCCGTGTTGATCAGAGCACAGTGTCAGCCTAATTCCCTCGTGTCACGCTTGTTAACCACTCTTCTCAGACTGCACAACTTTCTATTTTTTAAACACATTCTCGAGGAGGACAAATCGGAACAACCGTGGCAGATATGAGGGCCCAAGGCAGGGATTGTCTCGCTTGTGTCGCTAATTAGCAGCTGGTGAAGTCTGTTTTGGAATGCAGAGGTGATATAATGCATTAGACAGCAATAGGAGCTTTCCATATTTAATAATAATAATAATAAGGATTAGATAACCCCTCCCCATAGACCCCTCTGCTGGAGACCCATCGTTGCACAAGACAAGGCCAGGATAAGCCTTAGACGTAATTGGCACTAGTACCTGTCTTCATAGTCGAAATTTGCTAATGCACAGTTCAACAGATCCTCCTTCTGAACAAATAGCACGCAACATAACTAATCGACTGCATTATACGAATGCAGTTTTACATTAGCGGTGCAAGTTTGAGGTCGCTAGGTAGCTCAAACAGCTAAGCCAGAACAGTTGTATACTTGTAAATGTTTGAGTCCACAATTGCCACCACTGGTAACACGGCTTGTGGAGCGAAACGTCGGACATTATTCCACGCAATGCGCAGCGCAACTCAAAAGCATACCCGAGGGATGTACAGCCCCACCGTAAATCCTACTTGAACTAAAACTAAACTATGAACTTCTCTTAATTTTACCAGACAAGGCCCACTGAGCTATTTAGCTCGTTTTCAGAAACGACATGGCCACGAATGACAGCTCAACAAAGCGGCTAACCGTGTGGAAATGTATAGCAGTAGCCAAATAATCTATGCGCATGTTTATAAATGTGGAGGGAAAAAACGGAGGACTCGGAGAAAAATCCACTTGATCACGGGGAGAACGACACGCAAACTCCAGATATACAGCAGGTGTCAGGAATCCGCATTGAACTCACGACCTCCTGCATACCAGGCGAGAGAGTTAACATCTTGCCAACGCGGTGCCCTCTACTTAGTAGCAGTGGTGGTGTGAAAGCTTTACGTTTGGCAGAAAACTACATCATAGAGCAGGCACTGAGTGGCAAGATTCTAAGTTCAAGACGGGCCATTGAATGAGTGGGTACAGGCAGATTACACACCTCTCATTTTTCAGTATGTGTCTTTGCTGTCATTAAGGTATCCTGTGTGGATTTTTTGTTATTCTTTAACTGGACAAAACACAAACAACAGACCAGAATGGTCTCTTCATGAGTTTAGGCTGCAATAAATGCCAATTGACCCAACATTTGCGAAATTTTCCCTTTACGTTCCAGATTTTTTATTTGGTTAGGGCCATAAGGAATGGCGTATACCATGCATTATGATCCTGTGTTTTGAAGATAAAATAAAACCATCCAGTTTAAGGTAAATCCATCTTAAATAAAACCATGGTTTTTGGGCACACTCACATTTAAGTGTGGTCAGACTAAAGTCGTTGCTACAGTGCATAGCAGCTATTCCACTTCTGAGGGCCTCGGATATCAAAGCTGAGTCTGAGGCCCTGCAGTCGAGTGCCAGCAACATCCCACCGCTTCGCTTCCGAGCAGGAAGGCCACCTCTGCTGCAGTTTATCTTGCATGCATTTCAGTAAACATCACATTTCCCACAGAGTAAGACGAATGTGCCAATAAATGCACGATCCACATTCATTGAGGTACATTAAATGTGAACTTTTCCGTGTAAAAAATAGTACGCTTAAGTAGTTGAAAGTTAATGGGAATTTTATTAACTTATAGAATTATATAGGTGGTATGACAGTTTTCTAAATATTCTTGCAACTCTCCTTTTTTGCTTAAAAGTTTCCATTTGAATCGAATGTTTTTTCTCCTCTCTCTTGCCATTTTTATATTTATTTACACACTTACGCACGAAGCCTATCGCTTCAAAACATTAGGCCTCCCTTCGATATTTGGCCCAAAGGCCCCTTTGGCACACGAGAAGCACGCGCGGTCTGGTGCAGCTGCGCCGCTCCAGGTACTGCCGGCGTCTTCTGAGAAATGTCACCATATTCCACCACCACCACCACCGTTTCCTCAGGATTAGAGTCTGCGTTGCATTGAGATCACATTGGATTAGGGAAAAGCGTGTGCTCTCTCACGATGCATATTGAAAAGGTGGCATTGTCCCTTCAGCGAGTCGAGGTATTAATATCTTTCCTGCCCAAAGTTATTTTTCCCTTCAATGTTTTCTTCAAGAATTACAGATGGAGAATGTCCGAAATCTATGGATATTTATAATGCCCCTTATACTTTATTATAAGACTTTATTAAAATGAATGCCTACGAAGTCACATTCACAGCTACAATTAAAGTGTGTTCTCTGGGCATTATCTAGCATAAGCTTCATGTAACATACATTTTCTTTTTATTTCCCCTATAGACAACGCGTATAATGCCCATCGCAGCACAAGCCCAATACGTGTGCAGAACACGCGTGGCTGTACTCAAACGCAGTGAGCACCAAAAAGTGCTAACCGGTGTAATTCATCCGCGAACCTTTGCTAAATATTCAACGGCTCCAATTGCACACGACCAAAAGTCTCGCACACATTTTAGAGTGTGCAATCGAGCCATTTTCAAACACTTTTAAAGGGCCTCACGAATGCAGGCAAAGAGAGAGGGGGGGGCCTCTGTGTGAGTATCTTGATGCTGGCGCCTTGGGACAAAACTTGTCACGCTTCTACCCCTCACTTTTTGAAGTGTTGTGGCTTCTGGACTTTTGAGGCCAGTTCACAGATGTGGAGTCGGAGTTATTTACTTTGAATCTGATGCCCGTAGATGTAAATTCGATCGCGCGACATCTGAAGCTGTGCACTGCGGCACAAGTGGCACGCAAATAATTTGGAAACGTAACACCGAATGATACACCGACGCACCATCATGCCTACGGTTTTGCTTTTCGTACGTCTTAACATGTGAAATTGTTTACTGTCACGTGTACTATGGGTATGATGTAACTAACAGCATTCACATGTTTGCCCTTTCAAAGTAATGTTGATCATTTCCGCACCAACAATGTGTAACGGTGTTCCAAGCTTTTAACAAGTTAAAGTGGCTAATGGTTGTGCGTGTGTTGCATCTGAGTATGTGTGTCTATGTTTGTTTTGTCTTAATCTCCTCTGTGGTCATGTTATAGAGCTCCACAATCATGTTCCCCGTTTGTTTTTGGTTTGTTTAGTGCCTGTCATCTTATCTGAATGTTTTCTTTATTCATATCATATTCCTGAATGGTATCTTTTCAAGCTATATATCATGGACGTGTAATTACAGGAATGCGGACTGTTTGCATGATTATAATGCACAGGTTGCTTTGCGAAGGCTCGTGAATTTATGTCCATCCAAAGACTTGCATTAACGTAACCGGTTTTTTTTATGGATAATGCACAATACATTCCGAGTATATCCTTAACAATGTGGCAGAATTTGGTCAAAGTATTTACATCACAGAGTAGTGATCCATTATCGGACACTCCAGAGGAAAAAGGATGTACTCAGTAGCTATTGTGTATTTCTGTATGTGGTGATTGCTGTATCTTCAAAATAATGAAAAGCTAATGTACAACGCTTCAACCTTCTACCATCAAAAGAGAACAGAATGCGATTTGATGTCATTGCGTCGATATTTAACGCATTTATAAACACCCACAAGAAGTCGCATCAACTAAACTAGATGGCGTCGGCCCATGCCAGATCACCCACATAGAAAGTCTACGTCGAGTTAAATAACTGATAAATGATTGCAAAAAGGTTCAGCGGCAGAGCTCATGATTCTTTTGTTCGTAAGCTTTCTCGTGTGAAAATGCACTGAAACCCATTGGTAGACAATTTACCCTTCCCCATGTGTGAATGGTTATTCGGGCTGAAGTGGCCGGCCTCTGTAAGAGCTGACACGTGGCGTATGGCCTCCATTGTGTGTGACTAAAAGCCGGCACAATCGGAGAGAAAAGGAAGGCAGTGATACTGGAATTCGGAGGGAAAACTGACTTGAAATGACCCAGATATAAGATGCTGCAGATGTGTAAACCTTCTCCAAAGATGCAAGTAACCAGTCTACTTACCCACGACAGTGTATGACTGAAGGATAGTGCCCGACTGGTACATTATTCCTATAACCAACATCTTAGCATTTTTATTTTACGATTTATCTTAGCCATTGATGACTTGCCTCTTTAATTGCACACATCGCAATTCAACGAAAAACTACTTCCAATTCATGAAAATAAGTGTGCTATTATGGGGAATTGTGGGTAATACAATGAATAAATAATCAGGCAACAGTCCATATCGCCATGCTAAATACACATTTTATTAGGCCTTTGACCTATGAGTTCTTTGGACAAATGTTTTTCCAACAGTGCTTGTTCAAGCAGGCAAATTTTGAAATTGGCTCTGACTTTCTAAGTCTCACCAGCACCCAGGCCTGTTAAATAAATACTGTTGGGTTGTCAGATGTTATTGGAAAAAGCTATCCCTGCAAACATGGATGTCTGTGCTGCACTAAATTATAATACGGCAGCAAATATCACCTGGCGATTAGCATTCTCTTGCATAGCCCTTGGCGGTTAAATCCTCAAAGTCGCTTAATAATCAGAGCAATTAATTATCAAAGTGTGCTGTCTACCGAAAACTGGACGTGCTATTTACAAGAGTCTGTCATCATCGCAATCTGGGGTTTTGCCTACGCTCGTGCAAATTTTAAAATCATTCTGGATAAAAAAAAATGTCGAAGAAGAGAATAGAAAGTCACCTTCGCTGTATGATTTTCTTAGGTTTTTTCGGTAAAGTCACGTAGGTAAAAATTTTAAATTTATAAAAGTAAAATAAAAATAAAATAATCACGACGTTTCGGAGGCAACACAAGCTTCTGTATGAACCTGAAAAACCATGACGGATATCTCAGCGATGTATCCGGCACACATGATCACAACCATTTGGTGTCTCCTTGCAGCCTCTGATGCCACCGGTTCATTTAGCTTTTGCTAATTTGAGAAGCATATTATTTACACTGAACTAAAATATGATTGGCTTGATACAGGAGTTGCCATGGCTTCATTGTACTATATGCAACTAGTTTTGTCCACTTGAATTGATATGCATTAAAGATCCACTGGGCACAACTCCTCCAAGTCTTGATATTGTCCAATTCTTCGGAAACTCTGCATGATTATAAATAGTCTGTTTGGTAGCTGACAAGTTGAACACAAATACAGAAGTAGCCACCGGCGCTCTGAATTTCAAGAGGGTACAATTTTCAATGTGTGAGAAAAACAAAAGCACGATTACAGCTGAGAGGCACGAAAAGGCAGCATGGATATGAGGACAGAGAGAGAGATAGACAGCCCGATTTATTTTTGATCAGCAAAATGTTTCGTGGGCATATCACCAACCTTGTTTACCCGTCATTCAATGAGCGATATAATAAATAAATAAAACTGACAGCAAATAGTTGAAGCCCTGTACATTGTGCTATGTTTACATGAAGTATGTTTTGTTTTATTTATTTATTTATTTATGAATACCAGTTTTTTTTGTGTGACTAATTTCGGAGTTGATAGATGCACACGTGTGCTGTATCTTTTGTGGTGCTCCCGAAGTTCGCTGATCCGTTATAACAACAAGTAGCCCGTCGACATATTGTTTTTCTCGGTAAAATCGGGTGGCAGTGTTCCTTAGCCTGACCCCTGACCCTTGCAGAGCACCACAAGAGCTGCGGATCACAACTGTGCAATTATGGATCGGATAATATTTTGTCATGTGACGATGATGTTTGTGGTTTCAAAGTGAGTCGAATATAGTTGGATTTGAGTTGGTCATCGCGGAGTCCCAGAGTGTGCTGACGTAGGGAACCCGCCACATGGACAATTTGCTTTTGCTGCTGTTTATTTGCTTGACCGACTCACTCTGTCTGTAAATGTCTCTGCCTATAAGTAACATGACTTCCTGCGTGCTATAGAAGCAGACAGCACCACTCCAGGACTTGCCTTTGCTCCGCTGACCGTTTTGCTGCTCATCACCGATGCTGGCTTTTTCCAGCTTCGCTGATGAGCAGAAAGACTGTTGAGGTGAAGCAAATCCATGGCGTGTATTGTACGCCGCATCTGCGCTTACCTTCATCTCTCGACGCATTGATAGCATCATGTCCCTCTTCCTATATACTATAGAAATGTACTGTTCCATTCTGCGTACTTTGCAGTGGCTCAAGTACATTTATTCAGAATATTCTTTGTGCAAATGGGACCAAAGAATGCATTTACATTTCAGGGAAAGGATTTTCAAGAGCCCCCTTACGTAGGAAGCTTCCAGATTCCAGACAAGAGTGCTGTCTAAGATTTCGAAACTCCACACTATGTTATTGGACACGGACATCACTCATCCCAAATTAAAGTCACAGCAAAGGATCTACATGCTCGAACGAGCGAGGGCAGTTTTCATCACCAATGAGGAAGTAATTTTCCCAGCATTTGGATGGAATTGAGCCCAAGAAAACTGCCACAGGTTATAATGTGGTAATAATGCTGAAGATGAGTTATGCTGTAAAATTGGCATTTTACCACCCTGGGTAATTATTTGCCAGGGTGGCCCATTTTTGTGGCAGTTTCACACCTAAAACTTGTTGAAAATCACCTCTAAAGTTAAATGATTCAACAATCAAAACGTAGCATGGCTTTTTTACCTATGTTTTTCTAAAGTCTTAATTGCACGAAGAACAATAATGGTCTGTTGCTTCTCGCATAGTAACATAAGCTCTGCTAACCTCATATGTCTAACTATTTTAAGTTATAAAATAGACCGTACTAAGCATATCCAATAAGCCATTTGCTTTCATAGCTATCAACAAAGCTGTATCCTGCTCACGTATAAGTCTTCTCCTACCTACCTCCTTGCCTGTCAAAACAACCATTTCTGATGCTCAATCCACTCACCTGCCCCATCGCATGTGTCTTATTTCATAGTAAAAGTGTGCAGATGGTATATCGTTAACTGTGCGAGCAGCAAAGCAAATTGGTATTTTTTTTTAAAGAGAGAGAAATGTGTGTTAACTCAAACAAGCCACGATCGAGTGCTGCTCATAGCCTGGGCGGTTTCGTCAGCGATTCTCTGGGACACGAAAGACCAAAATGATAAATTAATTACAAGGAGAGTGAGATGCACGGTTACTTGGTGGAGAGAGACCTCGGTCGTTAGATCTTCACAAACAAATGCACGTGCGTGACCTGTAAACGTATCGTGACAAACGAGTCTGAGTGTTGGAGCGTCATCTCCGAGCGGTAGTGTGTACAGGGACCCCATTGCACACACACACGCACAGGGGGAGAGAGAGAGAGAGGGAGGTGCAAATTGAGCGGTTTTTCAACTCGGCTTGGAATTTATTTAGCGCTCATCCGCGGCGCGGGGTTCTTTTTTTTTCTCGCACGAGTGTGAGCAAAAGTGGCCGTTCACCTTCACTCCATCTCCTGTCAAAAGGGGACACGAGGTGTCGGGGCGCGGGTAAAGTGTCGTCCAACTAAACCCCAACGACCAACGCGGCCCGTCGAAGGTCATCGTCCGGCAGCGGTTTTGACAGCGGGGCCCGTCCATCTTTATGTGTCACGGATTGCATCGTGCGGGGTGGCTGTGAAATGCATCATCCTGTGTGAAAGAATTATAATTGGACGGCAGTTTGATCTGATGTTTTAACCATTCCAGGACACACCCCCCCATCCCCTCCCCCACTTAAAAAAACCTGCATTGACCGGCGTGGTGAGGTATGGTCAAACAACCCCCCAGAACCAACACATTGTGGGAAGGCCTTCATCGAGTAGTGCAAAATAATTATTATTTCATAGGAATATTTCAAATAATAATGCTCAATGCATTAATTGCATTCTGTTGGGCTCATCTATATGAATTGTAGATGAAATCCAAATCCAGACTGGTGACACTGCTCTATGTTTGAGTTAAGCAGGGCTACATCTGTAAATACTTTCATGAGGACACAGTTATCAAATACAAAGGAGACGTCATCACAGCGATGCACTCCGCTCCTGCTGACATCGGCTATCTGGGCTTGACCGCCTGAATCTGAAATTGTAGTTGCCGTTCTGCGCCCACCTCAGCCGTACGGAACAAGAAGTTATCATGCAGGCCGCAAAGACTGACGATGAAGTTAGATACGCACACTTCCGCCAGATCCGACATGGACACGCTACTTGCTCCTAGGTGGTCCTTGAATAATTCAGACGTGCCACCTGCATTCGACAGAAATGTAATAGCCGACGTGTTATCACGCAATCTAATTGAAATCCTTCACTGAACCTAATTATGCCTCGGCTTGTACTTTCAAGGTCGTTTCCACTCTAATACCCATCTTTAAAAGCCCTCCGCTCACTCCACTGACAAAACATTTAAATGAGATGACATTTCTGGAGCGAAGTGGGGAGGAGGTCAAAAGGATGTGAAACTGAACGTACATCGCAGAGGCCTAATCAAAACATGTATTCGCTTCGGCGCTATAAACTTACCTCTGTGCCACGTGCGGTGCATCTGGTTGTGAACCTCTAAGACGACAAAAATGTGTATCTGCATGTCGGCAAACGTGAATGACAGGATATCTGTTGAACGGATATCTGTTTAACTCTAACACGCGTATGCTGTGAATGCGACTGCTCTTCCCCCTTTCCTCCTCTCTATGTTTATTATTTTCCCGTTTGTTCTCTGTTCCCCTGATGCATGTTGCTTGCAGGGGTTGTCCTATCTAGTGGATGATCCATACTGTTCCATCCCTGCTGCACGGGCTACAAAGGTACAGGATTTGTGACTCTCTGTTGTTGCGTCCCGTGTTGTGCTCGAGTCTTTGTCGTCTCCGCAGTCTTTTCAGTTGCCTTATGCAGTATTTTTATTTGAGTCCTTTTCGCCGTATTCCCTTAAATGTGCTTTGTGCTTCCGACTGCGAGTGTTTTAAAGCCAAAAATCCGCACCTCCGGTTAGCACGGTTGGCTACGTACGGTGCGAGAGAAGCTCGGCATACGTACGTGCATACAAAATGTGATTTGCCCTGTGCTTGGGGATGACAGGCAGATATCAGAACACACACGTTCGTTCAAATGGTTCTCTTGTGCCGAGTAAATATTTAATTATTTAGCACTCGGATTGAAGGGAACATATTGCCAATAATGGTTTCAGGCAATTTTACGACTAAGCTTCTCATGTCACACTGATATACTAATTACGGTGGGTGATTTAAAGATAAAATAAAAAAATATATAAGCATAATAAATCTTTTCAACTATGAACAGCCTACCTAAATCTTGCCATTTAGTATACTGTATATGCATTGTAACAACAGCTGCATACAAGAAGGGTGGCATGTCGTTTTAATATCTACTGTGACATAGTACACATTATTACTCCAAATACATAAGCACTAACGTATTTACAAATCGTGTTGTTTTCATAATTCTCTCAATTTGCAATTTTCGAAAACTGAATAAATATATGTTGCAATACAATCATACATATATACATTGCTTAAAACAATGATACTGTGTAAGCTAAATTAATAGTAGCAAGCCTCAAAGTTCTTAAAATATCTAAATAAATCACAATACAATCCTATGCAGTGAAGAGGGCATTCCCTCCTTAGGTAATAAGCGTTGAGTTATCTGCTTACAGGACCACTTTATTTGCGTAAATTCATATTGAGACATTCTCATACAGTGTAAATATTACCGCCGAGTAAACCCAGCCATTGCACAGGTGACGTTATTTTGAATACGTTCTGTTTCCACCCAGATGGATGCAATGGTAGTCGTCAAATGATCACAGCGACAGGCGTGCACATGGGCCTCGTTTAACATCGCTTCATTTTCTTCCGCATCCGGCTGTTTATTTGAAGACACCGATGAAAAAAAAATCACCCTCGCGATCAATTTGTTACCCATCACGATAACAAATTCACACGAATTCAAACACACACGCGGTCGAATGCTCTCTGTGTGTGGTTTCATTTGCAGGGTGGGTGACCTGGTCTTGTCGATGTATTTCGCGTAAACCGTCATGTTCAAAGTCTTTGCGAATGTCTGTCCAGCAGGACATGAGTGGTAGGCACATGCTGTATATTAACACCATCTGCTCTTTCCCTTTGGAAGATCTGAAAGGCACTGCAAGGGAGAATCTGATTTTATTAATTACTATTGATTAATCCTGCTAATGTAAGTTATTGCCATGCAAACAACACCGGCATCAAGAATGCCAATATTTCGGCTATTAGTTGTTTTCTGTCCGTACAACTCTTGTTCTCTTCCTATTCACTGTTAATTTCTGGCTAAAACTAAAATGTTACATTAGCATTAAAATCCCGTGTTTGTGTAAATTACTGCCACCCTTGACAATCAAGTTTATAAATGTTCGCGTCCTTGAGCCTTCTCAAAAGGTAGGTTACTACGTTTATGTCAGACACTCGCAAGAAAAAGCGTAACTATATACTGTTTAAAGCATCATTATTTGAAGGATAGCTCTCACAAATGATAATACGTATCTTTGAAGTGGCATTTTCACATCACGGAAACAAATTATATGTCCACGTCATTAGCACCAACACGTTACAATATACCACAAATTACCAGAGCATTTTCTTCTGAAGTGTGTACAGGTGTGCCCTTGACTTGTGTGGTGTCTGAGCCGCATGCGTTACCGTTGTAACGCAGCTGAACAAAAATCGGCGGCTTCAACCCAGTGACTTGTGCCCGTGTTGTGCTGGGTGTAGTCTCAAAGCACGAGTGCCGTGTAAAGAGGATGTCTCACTGGATATTGCAGATGGCAGACACACGTGCCCATTTATAAAGGAGAAGAGAAAAGTTTACGCTTGAGAAGCTCGTGACATCCTAATTTCATGGTGTCAGTGCACATCATCCGAGATTTATACAACTTGCATCTGAGCCTGATAATGCCGCTTGAAGTAAATTTTATATTTTCGTTCGGGCTCATTGTCCACGGAATATATTGTACGTATATCTATGCTATGGATTTAGGACATTTAACTACAGTATTTCATCAAGTGGACTGGTCCTTTTTTGCGATCACTCTCAATTTGGATTACAGTACATACGAAGAGGCCTATTCAACAAGTGTAAGGGAACTGGATATTATATTTATTCCACATTCCACTGCAGACAAGGATTAGCACAATAGTCTTCTTTGGGATGCTGTTCCGGGCATCTGGCATCATATTGCAGATCACTGGATCTGGTTCAATGACGATGATGAACTCTCCGGCTGTGTAGTGCAACCTTTGTGAATTTCGAATCGAAGTGGCTGCTGGTGCATCGCATTACCAAATGTTTCCAACAATTTTCATGGGTGGGAGGGTGAAGGGGGGCACGGAGGGGGGGCCGAGGCATTGCTGAAATGTTCGGTGCCAGGATCTCCTGGCAGGGCTGATCCATTCATTAATTTATGAGGTCACCCACATATTTTGGTGGGGCTCCTGCGCTTACCAATGAGCCAGCTCGTACGTACGTACGTATGTGCTTGACGGGTCCTATTCTCAGAACCGATCCGGTCATTTCTGTGGGGAATTACCAAAGGCATCTGTCCTCCTGTAAAGTTGGCAATTGGGGACTTTTGTGGTACTATTTGCAGAAGCAGGATGTTGGGTGCCGATGTAAATCCACAAATGTGTGCAGGATTTGAAAGTTAACGGCAACTAATTTGGGAGCAGAGAAACTCATTCACCGTAAGGTATAGATACATAATGACTTCACTTGCCTCTGCACCCTAAGGGATAGATAAATAAACAATTGGCTTCACTTGTCTTTGCACCCATTCAGTGTTCACTTCAAAGTAGTGTTTAAATCCTCAAAAACAAATTTGTTGCAATGCAATTATTGAAAACGCTACACAATAATTGGACTGAAACCTAATTGAATACCAAGTTAATAAAATGCCAAGATAACTTAATACAAAGCTAATGCCAAGGTAATTGAATGCCAAGACAATTCAATGCTGACCTCACTGGAATACCTTCCTCCTCCGGTGTGATTGCAATGCATAATTTTCCCCCTAAAAATCGTACATCTTTATCTTCGCGATCTATAAATTTGAACTCTGAGATTTCCCCCTTGCTCGTGTATGCAATGTTAGTTGTGCCAGTGGTTGCGCTGGTACAATTACTGGTCCCCTCGTCCTGCACTTTACTGGCACGAAGGCGCAGACGTTGCCCTCATAATTTTGGTCCCCACCAAAAACATTTTACAATATTCCTTTTACTGTGTCTCACTATACTGTAATTAGTTTTCTTTTTATGTTCTTCGAAACAGGACATGCCATACATCGCTGGACCTTCATAATGCTCTGACCACTCTTGTAATTCTCTGCACGTAAATCTAATATATATTCTCTCTGACCAGATAAGCTGTCATAAATGTCACAAATGTAATCTCAGATTGGTGTCAACTCGGTTCTTCCTCTTTCCCCACCCATCCGATGAGTACCACTCTGTGGAAAGGCAACAGCAATTGACCTTCAAATTATTTTGTCTCTGCCAGACATAAGAATGTGGCCTACAAACAGAAGGAGATGAGTCCCTCCCCACACTGAAACCTAAACGCGTTTAGATGTTTTTTGCTCACAACTCCCAAGATATTTGTAGCCACACAACCAATATTTGCCTCCTACCATCCCACTTGTTGTGCCCTCATTGCTAACACTGTCTCCCTGAGAAGAGATAGTCAATACTGTAGTGGTTGGAAGCGTCCAGCCGGCCCGCCCCTCGTCTCGCGTTGCCTACGCCAGATCGAGACGACCTCTCCGCTCCTCTGGAGACCCGGACTCCTCCTTCTCCTCCCCCTGCTGCTGCTGCTGCCGCTACCGCTGCAGCCCCCCGGAGTGGAGGGCACTACAACCACTTACCGGTCACGTGCAAGAGTAGTGGACGTAGCAGGAATTGCCCACGAATATTTCAACCTGATCTTTTGTTTGAAAGTGACACCGCAACCACTTTGTAACCGCCGTGACACAATGACTTTGGTAAAAGCCATGGAAATGAATGCACGCATATGGACGGATATGAATTATAAGCATTGACCGATCCCACACTTTCGGAGCCTTTCAGAATGTACTGTCAAGCGGCAAACTGCGCGATAATGCGAGGTGAATTCCAAGCGCTGGTTTAAATGTGTTCTCACGCCAGGCGTTTAACGTCTGTGACGAGCCGTCTGGACTCGAACATTTCGGCTTGCACACGTGTCGTCGGTCATTTAAATTCAGTGATGTACCACTGTGACCTTCCATCTACCCCAGCCAGGGCCTCTTCGCCTCAATGTTCGAGGAGGGCACAGTCTGACACACTTAAAAGCCTCTCTTTCACTTGACCCCCCCTCCATCCTGGATTTTCTGTGTGGAGCATATGGCAGAAAAATATAAATTGATATCGAAAAAAATGAGAATTAATTTATCCTAAATCCAATAGGGGGTCTGCAAACTTCAGTGCACGCTGATGCACAGTATTACAGAGACACATTTTTATATTTAGTCTTCCAGGCAGGAATTAGTTATAGCTTTGCCCATTTAAAATTGAATATGCAACGGAACTTGTTAAAAGCCCTTCATAATTGAATAAGTATTGTAGTACCTAAGATCGAAACAGGAGGAGGATTTCTCCACAACTCTGGCTGTCACCTGATGATGCTGGTTGTAATTACCGGTGAAACTTCACAGGACTCGAAAGGTAAATGTTGTGGGTTTTCTCTCCAACACACCGGTGTGCTGAACTAGTAACGAATTGGCATGTTTTGTTTATGTGGC